TGTCCTAAATATGGGCAAAGTGTTGCCAGGTACTACAATTTTTCAAAACAACCCGGAAATCCAGATTTTTTTTGATGTGAAATCTCCTGCTTTTTATTATTGGTAACTAATTCAATGAAAAATAAAAACTAAAACATTGAGGAGACCATTACTAGATGGTTTCACAAAAAGATGTCCACAACTGCAAGCTGGATCTGGGCTATACGTTGCCAGTTTGTAACCTGTGCTTTAGATCTTTGTAGATAGATGGTTCTTAACTTTTTTCCAGCTTTACTGAAATATAATTAACACATTAAATTGTAAGATATTTAAAGTATACACTGCAATGATTGGATATATATAAACATTGTGAAATGATTCCTCCCATCGAGTTAGTAAACATATCCATCACCTCACATACTTATCTTTTTCTGTGTGTTGAGAACATTTGAGTTCTACTCTCTTAGCAAATTTAAATTATACAAAAGAGTTATCAACTATTATCACCATGTTATACTTTAGATCCTCAGGCCTTATTCATCTTATAACTAAAAGTTGATAGCCTTTTACCAATCTTTCCCTATTTTCCCCACTTCCAGCCCCTGTCAACCACTTTTCTACTCTTTTATCCCTGTGATTTTGACTTTTTTTTTTCTTTTCCTTTTTTTTTTCCTTCAGATTCCACATACCAGTGGTACCATGTGGCATTTGTCTCTGTCTGTCTGGCTTATTTCACTTAGCATAATGCTCTCCAGGTTCACATTTTCTTTATCCATTCATCTGTCAGTGGACACTTAAGTTGTTTCCATAACTTGGCTATTTGTGAATAATGCTGCTATGAAAATGGGAGTATAGATGATAGATTTTTTGTTTGTTTGTTTGTTTTTTGCGGTACGTGGGCCTGACTGTTGTGGCCTCTCCCGTTGCGGAGCACAGGCTCCGGACACGCAGGCTCAGTGGCCATGGCTCACGGGCCTAGCCGCTCCACGGCATTGGGATCTTCCCGGACAGGGGCACAAACCCATGTCCCCTGCATTGGCAGGGGGACTCTCAACCACTGCGCCACCAGCGAAGCCCTTTTTTTTTTTTTTTTGATGGATTTTAATTTCAAATTCAATACATCACAAATAAATCTAGTCTGGACGTGAGTTGGAAATTAGCACATAATCCAGTACTTTCTACCTTTCAATGATATTACATTTGCATCTAGATTTTTTTTTTGCTTTCATGATGACCATGCAAATAAACAGTTTATAAAGGTTCAACCCAGTCAAAGCCCAATTCAAACTGGTATAGGCTTAATGAGAATCTGGCATAAGACCTGATTTTTCTTTCTAGTATTTCCCATACATGTTGGTATCCATGGAAATCTAGGGTTTTCCCTAAATATGCATACATACAATGCTTTGAAAGAAGTTATTAAAGGCTAAGCTTGATGCTGAAGACACAAATTAGGAAGTTCAGTCAAAGTAATTCTACTAGTAGCACCAAATATCTAGCTAAAAATAGCCAGTGTTTCATTGAAACTGTTATTTTCCCCAGTATTATGAGGAAATAAAAAGACTGTGAAGATAGTAGAGACATAGAAGGGTTAGTAAAAATGGCTTGAAGAAATGTAAATTCCACTGCTTAGAGAGATTTAGCCATTTCATACTATGGTATACTAAAAAAGATAATTTACACATCAATTATCAGACTTGGACTAAAAAATAATAAGGTCCTTTTGGCAATCCACTGGACAAGTGTCTTGAATAATACGAAATTCTGTTCCATGTTGAGTTGTATTGTGTCTACTTCTGGGCACTGCATTTGAAAAAAGCAGCACTACACTAGAGTATATTCAGAGCAGAGTGACCAGGATAATTAAAACTAAAAGACTTATTATCCCAGTTTGCTGGGGATTGAGGGAGTTCACAGGATGCAGGGTTTTCAGTGCTAAAACTAGGAAAACAAACCAAGTTGGTCACCCTAGGGAGACCTTGAATCCATGCTGTAGAAAGAAATGCTAAGGGTTTCAGTACATTTACCTGAGAGAAGGCATGATAAATTCTTCTGTGTATGCTTAAAGACCACTATTATTTTCTTCTATATAGCCCCAAGAGGTTACAAGGATCAATAGGTAAAGTTACAGATTTTGGTTCAGTAAAAGAAAAAAACTATTTATAGTCATACCAGCCTAAAGATGAAATGAGATACATCAAGAAGTAGATGTTGATGAAAATTCTCAAGTAATGGGAAGCATTTGATGTAAAGATATATCAGGAATCTTGCAGAGAGGATTCAAAGTTTTGGAGGAGGAGGAGAAGGGGTTTGGATTATATGGCCTTTACGGTTCCTTCCAATTCTGTTTACAACCTCCATGATTCTATTATGATTATAGGATATTTTAAGTAATACAACCAATATAAGTTTGAAAATTTTACATTCATTATCAAAAAAGTAATGGAAGAATTCTGAAAGAGCAAAATAAGGAGAACCATAGGGCAGGAGAGAAAACAAAATTAATCTGAGGTTAGTGTAACAAGTGATGTAAGCTGTCAAGTCACTTTTGAAGCAGGCAGCCTCAGATAAGAGATCAGCCATGGATGAAGAAAGACCATTTTAGAAGAGAATGAGAAACAGTCACTGAGGATGGTAAAGTAATTCAAGCATTAAATTAATTCTTATATGTTTACCAAAGGGATGACGAAAAATATGCCTATTCCTCTGTGTCTCAAGAAAAGTGTTTAAGTCACCAGGGTAACTGAAATGCCAAGTATCTAGACAAGGTCGGTGCCAAGTATTAACCCTAAGTTTGCCTGCACCAAATTTCTGTATCATCTAAGAGACAAACTTTAAGCCTGTCCTTGACTTCTTGCATTTGGGTTAAGTAGCACCAGGAACTGGCAAAATGGAAGTCAGAGTCATGCCCAAAGTACTTCCATCTGTTTGAGACCAACCAGTTTTAGTGCCCACAGGGCAGAAGAGCCCTTCACAAGATTGAATGAAAAAGAATCGGCTGAACTCCAGATCCTGAGGCACTAATACAAACCTGAATTTCATTTTCAGAATCTTGCTTTCATAACACAGTCTACCTGAATTTGCTAATTTGCAAAACTTTCCCACCCCTATATTCTTACCTATATTAAGGATGAGTTTTGTCTTCAAAATAATCGAGGCATGAGAGTAAATTGCAGTGGGATCCAAATAAAGTTACAAAAACATAATCACAGTTAAACTTATTGGATTCTCACTGAATGCATACTTTTGTACTAATTATTGCAGGGCTGCAAAGAAAAAATAGCTGTATCCTCTGACTTCAATGAACTTACAGTTCCTGGGGCAAGACAGGACAAAATATTTCAATTTGACAAATGTTATTTGAGCACTCACTAATGGGGTTCAATACTTTCACACACTTGTCTTAGAGTGGATACTGTCCACATTTTACAAGTGAAGCAATATGAACTGCCCATAGGGTAACCATATGTACCTTTTTGCCCTGGCCAGTCCCAGTTTACGTCTGTTGTTTTGGTGTATTTTTAACAGCATTCTTTATCACTCTCCAAATTTCCTCAGTTTTGATTATCAATTATATGGTCACCTCACAGTAGTAGATGGCAGACCTGAGATAAAAATAATGGTCTGCTGATTTCCTGTGCTCTTTTGAACGTGGTCTTAAATCGGATATTCTGTGGTGAGAATATGACAGACATGAATTGCTATCTTCTGAAAGTCCATTGCTAACACTACCGCTTCCACACGATTACTCATTCATCCTTATGTAAGTAAGCACTCTTGTCCCTTTGTGGCCTGATACCTGGTCGATCATCCTCATCTGTTCTTTCCTACCTGTATCACAGCTACTACCACACATTTTCAACTTAGGACTGTAGAACCTCAATATTTTCATTGTTCATGAATCCAAAACCCTGGCCTTAGGCTTTCTGGACTCCTTAAAATCACAATCAATCGACATGTGACACCTATTCCCATTGGATACCAAATGATTATCAGGAACTATGCCATCTCTTAAAAACTAAAACTCCAATACCACACATAAACCAAAACTTCTTTTTATTCCAGCTTTTCTACCATCATTCCTGCCTAACCAACTTCCTTCAGTCTCATTTATAGTTATTGTTTGTTAACTCCCATGTTTTCTGCCAGATAATCAAACTATTTCTGGCTTCACTTTCCTTTCTACTCAGCCTGGACTCCATGAAAATCTCATCTATTCCTATGATTTTTATTTTTTTATATTCAAATAACATGAAAACAGAGTCATATGTTTGTAGCCATAGCACTTCACATAAAAACCTGGGTTATTATGGGTACTCAACAAATGTATGTTGAATAAAGAAATTATAATGGTGGTATTACCTGTTCTATGTTAAATTTTCTCCTTTGAATTTTCATAATGGAGTTATAAATAGCATATCTGAAAGGGCTAGGTGGTATATCACTGGTCTAATGAGGCTGTAGTAATTAGTCAAATCCTCAGGTGAACCAGGCTTGCTTTGAACTACTACATGAAAATAAAATAATATCCTAATCTGTGATCAGCTATGCCACTTACTATTACTTTTATGATTAGATTTTATAATATTAGTAAGTGTAAATCTCTTTATTCCCTCCTGGATACTTAGCAACTTATTTTAATTGTTGGCCAGTAGGTATGCAGTGGCTCCCAGACTTTGGGCTTATGCCCTAAATAGCAGGATGTCCTACAGGAATAGTCAGTTTATAGGCACAGTTAGCATTACACATTGCATATGAGAAGTGCTCTAGAATTCACTGATGAATAAGCATATTTTCTCACTCACATACGCACAGAAAAAATTAAAATGTTATTATATAAAAAGAGCCAAATGGAAACGTTTTAAAAATTGTGTTTTTAAAAAGTATGTACCATTCATCAACCAATATTTTCAAAATATAAACACTTTCATACAATGAAATACCTTATTTGTAAACAGTTGACTATTTTAAATAACTATAATATAAGTAGGGCTTTGTGAAATTTATTTTTTTACTTACCCTGAAATTTTCTTGAATTCCAGGTTTGTTTGTAGTTATGCAATCCCTGTACAGCTTTACTTCGTTAGTCTTTGGCAGACTTACGTTTCTGATGGTGGCAGACCAGTTACTTTCAGACCAATCCATCTACTGAGGACACCAAAAATAATCTGAAACATAAAAATGAAAATTTTATATAAAATAATATAATGTAATATAAATAACACACAAAGAGTATATATTCTATATAACGTGTGTATATATATATTTCTTCATAATTATTACATACTATAAAAGCTATAAATTGTAGTTCAGGAGTAATAAAAAAGAGGATTTCTGTTAAACATCTAAGGTTTTCAGTTGGGAATTTGAAGGTCTAGATTCCACTGCCACACTACTAGAATAGACAAATCATTACAAAGACACTCAAACCTTCATGGATTAAGGAAATCTGGAATTGCTAAATGCCTTCACCCAACTATTTGCCAGAATGAAAATTAAATCATCTCTGGAGGAAGAGAACATCATCTAGAACATCAAATTTATCTAAAATCTTATACACAATTCTTTGGCCTTGAATAAAATATACCCAACCTTGCACAAATAAAGGATGTGAGAAATTAAAGAAAAAATACACACTACAAATAGAAAAACAGGAGATTCATATGTTGAAGTTATCAGACAAGGGCTATAGAATAATTCTGACTATTATAGTTGAAGAATTTCAAAAAAATAACAAAACTTGTCAGAAAGCTAGAAACTAAAAATTAAGAACCATATGGGACTTCCCTGATGGTCCAGTGGTTAAGACTCCATGCTCCCACTGCAGGGGGCGCCAATCCCTGGTCAGGGAACTAAGATCCCACATGTCATGCAGCATGGCCAAAAAAAAATCCCCAAAATACCAAAAACTCCCCACAAAAACCATATAGAAATTCTAGAATTTAGAGGTACACTAATTGAAAGAACTCAAAAAAATTGTTTTTTCTCTTCTTTGCACAGTAGACAAAACTGAAGAAAGACATAGTTAATTGGAGGTTAGTCAGAAAAATGTTCATCCCGAAGCACAGAGAAACAAAAAGAAATGAACGTGAGTAAAGGCCTAACACATCAGGCCTGGATCTTGGAAATTATAAAGCTATGTAAATATTGTGTCTATATCTGCCTTGTTCACTATGTGAGAATGCACTTGGATTGGAAGAGATGTGAGTTGGCATTTGGGACTTGGGCCTACATGAATAGAATGATATTCAGCAGTTAAAAACAAAGGCAGTAATATCTTTGTGTCAAAGGGATTTACACACATCTTGGTACTTATCTTTGGAAGCTGTAAATGCCCTATGTGCATGACAGACCAATTCTGTATATACTTGCATATCTCTTGGGCTCCCTGATAGGGTGAAGGTGCTATATCTACTGGATTTTTTGTTTTTTAACCTGTGTTCACAATTATGGTGGTACAAATGAAAATACAGAAAATACACAATCAAATTATTGAATATGATGGAATAATCATATATATGATTGTTTATACATGTATATATATATTATATGAATAATATGGTATATAATAATATATAACATATATATGATATATACCCAATATATATAATAATACATATACGAATATAACTATATATAATGTTATATATGTTGTATACATATATATGCTATATATATATGTATATATATATGTATATATATAAATGCATGATTGGAGAGGAGAAAGACAATTGGGCAGAAATAATACTGAAGAAGTAATGTCTGAAAATATTCCAAACTGATAAAAGACATTAAGCCACAGATTCAAGAACCACTATAAATGCCAGGAATAAGAATACAATTAAGACAACACCTAGACATGTCATAAGAGAATTACTAATAACCAAAGACAAAGGGAAAATATTAAATCCAGCCAGAAAAAAAGCCATATTAGCATCAAAGGAGCAACAATATGGAAAACTTGTCAACAGAAACAGTGTAATGAGATTTTCAAAGTTCTAAAAGAAATTAGTTAACATATACTTCTATAAATAGCAAGAAGGGACTTCAAAATGAAGGTACCAGAAGTCTATTTCTAACTTAGATGTAGGTATCAGACAACCCCTTTCACCAGGAACCAAGAAAAATTATAATGCTATTTAAAAATAAAAAGAGTGATTTGAAGGCATAAAAGCACACACAAGGTAGCCAAGACTTGAGTCAAGCTCACAGAGAGAACGGAAACAAATTGGAGTATGTATATAAAACACAGAGAGCTGTTCAAAGACATCAGAGTATACCCAAGGCAGCCAGACTTGATATATCAAGGTCAAGTGAGAATGAAGGCACACTGAAGTAAACCCTAAAATTGTGGCTCTTTTCCCTTTTAAGGCATTCTACAATTCTTGCAAGGAGCATGAAGGCTAACAGAAAGCAGATTTCTTGAGCTTGCAGCAGTCTCACTGGGCTTAGAAAACAAATGTTAGCATTTAGGGCTACCAAAAAAGCCATAATCTAAGGGCCAATATTTCAGAGAAAAGGGAACCACAGCAAAGTGAGTCTAACATTCTACACACAATTTTCCCTTGAAGCAGTTTTATAAGTTCCAAGCTTTACTTGTATGGAGTATTATTCTGAGAAACCAAACTAAAAGTAGCTGTAAGAGGGGAAAAGGCTAAGCAGAGATTCCAGCAGTGTCATGGCACTAAGGAGACAAAAAATAGACGTTAGAGCCTACAAAGGAAGAAGCACCCTGGTAAATGATCAAGGCTTTCTGGTAAGACTCTGAAAGGGATGTGTTCCAGAGAAAGGACAAAATGTAAATAGACCAGCCTCAATAGGATCAAGGCAATTTGGCCATACTCTATCTTCCTGTAAGAAGGAAAGTATATTCTCCCTAAAGGAAAATAATGAGATCCAGAGCCTCTAAATTTTTCTTGCATGACTAGTATTCAGTATAAAATTAACAGGCATGGCATGAAACAGGACCAACCGACTTAAATCCAAGAGAAAAGGCAGTCAATAGAAACAGATCCAATGGTGATCCAGATATTGAAGTTATAAAACACAAACTTATAAAGAACTATGATGAATATTTTCAAGAATACAGGCAAAAATATAGAAAATTTCACAGAAATAAATAATAAAAATAATCAAATTGAAATCTTAGAAATATAAATGAATTAAAAATTTTAAGTAACCCAAATTAATAATTTGATAGATAGGTTTAACAGTGAATCATACAGAATACAGTAGATGAATAGTGAACTTGAAGGTAGGTCAGTAGAAAATGTACAGAATGAAGCATAGAGAGAAAAAGAAAAATATAAAAGGTCTATTATATGTGTAAATGGAATCTAAGAAGAAAAGAGAGAAAATGGATCAGAAGAATATTTGGAACAATATCAGCCAATAGTTTTCTAAAAGTGATGAACACCATCAACTATAGATAAGATAATATCTATGAATCCCAAGCAATGTGTATGTATGTGTTGTGTGCATGTGTGTGTGTGTGTGTGTGTGTATGTATATATATATCCACACAAAGCACATCATGGTAAAGCTTCTGAAAATCAAAGACAAAAAAGATAATGCTAAAATCAGACAAAGGAATTTTTAAAGTTCCATTACCTTCCAAAAAGCACTAATAAGGCTAACAGCTAATTTTTCTTTCAGAAAAGACTAAAGGAAGAATAAAATAGGAGTTCTTTAAAGGACTGAAAGCAAATAATGCAAACTCACGATACAATTTATAGTGAAAATATCTTTATGCAGGCAAAATAAAACATCTTCAGACAAACAAAAGCTAAAAGAATTCCTTACTATCAAATTTGCACTAAAACATACTAAAAAGGAAATGTTTATGAGAGGGAAATGATCTAAGGTAGAAGTACAGTAATGCAGAAAAGAATGATGAACTCCAGAAAGGGTAAATTTAAAAGGATATTGAGCATTTAAAGCAATAATAATGCTAAATTGTATGGTTTTAAATATGTGTAGAATCAAAATTTTTGGCAACATATCACAAAATGTAGGAGGAGTGTGAATAGAGGTAAAATATTAAAAGGTCCTTGCACGTTTGGGAAGTAATAAAAGCACTAATTTAGATCACATTTTAATGAGACAAGGATGCATGTTGCAGTCTCTAGGGCAACCATTAAACGATATGAAGTATTTATTACTAACAGGGCAATAAAGGAAATAATAGAATTTTTAAAATATTTGATTAATTCAAAAGAATCCAAAAAAGGAGAAAGAGAGAAACAACCAAGATAGGCCAAAAAGAAAGTACACAGTAAATTAGTAGATATAAACCCACATACATTGGTAACTACATTAGATATAAATGACTAAAGACTCCAAATAAAGGACAAATATTGTCACTCTAAAAATGAAAATAAAACTCAAATAACATGCTGCTTACCAGAGACATACCTTAAATATAAGGAAATATAAAACATGAAAGAGTCAAAAGAATACACCATGCATACAACTAACCCAAAGGAAGGTAAGTTAAGAAAATAAGAGGACACTGCTCAGAATGTCCATCATTAAAATGTCTACAAATAACAAATGCTGGAGAGGGTGTGGAGAAAAGGGAATCCTCCTACACTGTTGGTAGGAATGTAAATTGGTACATCCACTATGGAGAACAGTATCGAGGTTCCTCAGAATCTAAAAATAGGTTGTCATATGATCCAGCAATCCCAGTTCTGGGCATATATCCAGACAAAAGTATAATTTGAAAAGATATCAATACATGCACCCCCTATGTTCATAGAAGCACTATTTACAATAGCCAAGACATGGAAACAACTTACATGTCCATTGACAGATGAATGGATAAAGATGTGATATATTATACACACACACACACATATATATGTATACAAACACACATACTATGGAATATTATGGAATGTTACTCAGCCATACAAAAGAATGAAATAATGCTATTTGTAGCAACATGGATGGACCTAGAGATTATCATACTAAGTGAAGTCAGAAAGAGAAAAACAAATATGACAAATATTTGAGACAAATATTTTAGATTCCACAAATCACTTATATGTGGAATCTAAAATGTGACACAAATGAACTTATCTATGAAACAGAAACAGACTCACAGACATAGAGAACAGACTTGTGGTTGCCAAGGGGGAGTGGGGTAGGGGAGGGATGGATTGAG